GTTATTAATGATGGTGGACTGTGATAATCATTATCCAAAGTACAGGTATGAAGACACGAATCGGTGTGAATATACCATGTATACAACCAGAGATATGAAAAATTGTACTCTATATGTGTAATAAGAATTATAATGCATTCCACTGTCATATATAAATAAAATTTTTTTTAAATTAAAAACTTTTGGGCTGGGGATATAGCTCAGTTAGTAGTGTACCTGACTCATGTGCACAAGGCCCTGGGTTCAATCCCCAGCATCACAAAAAAATAAAATAAAAACTTTCGTGATTTCAAATATCACATTCAAGAAAACAAAAAGGAAACAAATGGGATAAAGTATTTGCAAATCATATATCTAGGAAGGTTCTAAAATACAGAAAATACAAAGAGCTCTTAAACAATTAAATTAGACAAGGATGGTCTGGGTTGTGGCTCAGTGGTAGTAGAGTGCTTGCCTGGCATGTGTGAAGTACTGGGTTCAATCCTCAGCACCACATAAAAAAAAATAAAATAAAATAAAGGTCCATCTACAATTTAAAAATACATTTTTTAAAAAAATTGACAAGATATACAAAGCCAACAAGCATATGAAAAGAATGCTCAATATCACTAGTCTTTAGGAAAGTACAAACCAAAATCACACTTCACACTAATTAGGATGGTTATAATAAAAACAAAAGACAAAAATTGAGATGTCTTGGTAGCCAGGCAGAAGTGGTGGCACACACCTATAATCCCAGAAACCTGAGAGGCAGACAAGAGAATCACAACTTCAGCCTCAGCAACTAGGCGAGACCCTCTCTCAAAATAAAAAATGAAAAAGACCAGGGATGTGGCTTAGCAGCAAAGCTCCCCTGAGTTCAATTCCCACTACCAAAACCAAGATGCATTGTTAAAAAATAATATAGAAAAGGAACCCTCACACATTTCTGGTAGACATGTAAAATGGTGAATTTGTAATGAAAAAGACTGGCAATTCCTCTCAAAAGTTAAAGATGGTATTACCATGATGAAGCACTTCTAACTTGGGTTATTCAAAAGAAATGAAATCACACGTATACCCACAAATCTGTAGCAAATGTTTGAACACCGTCTCTATTCACGGTAACCAAAAGATGGAAGCAAATAAAATACCATAAACTTCTAAATAAATAAATAAAACATGGTATAGCCACATATGAAATATTAATAAAAAGGAACAAAGTACCAATACATGCCACAAGATGAAAGAACCTTAAAAACATTATGCGAACAGAACTGTGCATGTCCAGTTAGCCTAGTAAACAATTAGACCAATAGTAAAGAACTTGTCTATCTTGTGTGAGGCCCTGGGTTCAATTCCCAATACTGACAAAAAACTGGAGCATGTCTATAACCTCAGCAACTTGGGAGGCTAAGGCAGGAGGATTCCAAGTTCAAAGCAAATCTCAGCAAATCAATGAGGCCCTCAGCAACTCATCAAGACCCTGTCTCACAATAAATCATAAAAAGGGATAAGGACATATTGTAGTTCAGTGGTAAAGAATCCTTGGTTCAATTTCCAGTACCAAAAAAAAAAAAAAAAAAAAAAAACCCAGACAAAAAGACTCTATTATATGATTCCACTGATAAGAAATATCTAGAAAAAGTAGATCCATTTAAAGCAGATTACTCACTCTCAGCGTAAGGGGTAAAGGGTACTGGGTGCTTAATGGATATACAGTTTCATTTTAATGATAAAACTGATCTGAAACAAAGTAGTAGAGGTGACTACACAACACTGAACATGCTAAATGCCATTAATGTAAATGTAAAGTAAAAGAAAGCAAACACAAAGGGCTACATATTGTATTATCCTATTTATTTTTTTAAAAAATCCAGAATAGAAAATTCACAGAGTCATAAAGTACAATCTCTTTAGGTGCTCAAGGGAGAATAACTGCTAATAAACATGCGGTTTCCTTTGGAATGATAGAAATGTTTTGGATAGGAAAATGATGATGGCTCACAACTCTGAATATACTAACATCCACTGAAAGTAAATTAATGGTATAGAAATATACCTCAATTCAAAAACACTGACCAAGAATCGTAATCAAAATAGTGGAGGGTCTTATACAATCATCTCAATTCTCACATTTCACAAGGAACTGAGATCCAGGATGGCAAAATAAATTATACAAGATCCTAAAGATTGTTAAATTGAGCTAGAATTAGTATACCAGATATTTCTATCTCAGTTCTCAGAACAGTAAAAAAATAAAAATTAGAAAACCTTTTACTAGGAGCTGAGGCTGTGGCTCAGTGGTAGACCACCTGCCTCGAACCTATGAGGCACTAGGTTCGATCCTCAATATCACATAAAAAATAAATAAATAAATGTATTGTGGCCACCTACTATTTTTTAAATATTTTTTAAAAAAGAAAAAGAAAACCTTTACTAGCTGGGTGCAGTAGCATACCCCTGTAATTCTAGTGGCTCAGGAGGCTGAGTCAGAAGGATTTAGAGTTCAACGCCAGACTGGGTAAAAGCAAGGTGCTAAGCAATTCAATGAGACCCTGTCTCTAAATAAAATACAAAATAGGGCTGGAGATGTGGCTCAGTGGTCAAGTGCCCCTGAGTTTAATCCCTGGTAGCCCCACACACACACCAAAAAAATTTAATGTTTATTCACAGGGATTACATCCTTTATAGTCCTCTTAAACATGTTGAAACCAAAGTCCTTAATCCCAGCTCTCTTTTAAAGCTCCAAAACCTTGATTCATTTATAAATCATTTTGTTAACATCAAAATAGCCACTTCAATGGCATTTGAACAAGCACTTTTAATAGTTAAAAATGTATTCATTTATTATTCAGATTTTTTTTTTTTTTTTTTTTTGGTACTGGGGATTGAACCCAGGGATGCTTAACCACTGAGCCACATCCCCAGGCCCTTTTATTTTATTTTTAAATATTTTTATAGTAGATGTTCACAATATCTTTATTTTATTATTTTTTTAATGTGGTGCTGATAATTGAACCCAGTGCTTCACAAGTGCCAGGCAAGCACTCTACAAACTGAGCTATAACCCCAGCCCAGCCCTTTTTATTTTTTATTTTGAGACAGGGTCTTGCTAAGTTTCAGAGGCTGGCCTCAAGCCTGAGATTCTCCTGCCTCAGCTCACCTAGAATTATAGGCTTTAGTCACCTAACCCATCTCAGTTTCACATATTTAACTGAACATTTAGTATTTTAATTTTAACTAGACAATCACTCTTTTAGAAAATCACACAGCATCAAATTTCGGAAATGCTAAGTCAATTCTGCAGTTCTTCAAACCTGTGAAAAAGTAATTGGAATACATTTTATATTGGGTTTCAAAAGTCAGACATTCCTAACATTTAGAGTTAGAATCCTAGAGTTGGAAGCCTATGGGGCTGGGGTTGTGGCTCAGCAGTAGAGCACTAGCCTAGCATGTGCGAGGCCCCTGGTTTAATCCTCAGCACCACATAAAAATAAATAAATAAATACAATAAAGGTATTTAAAAAAAAAAAAGAGAGAGAGAGAGTTGGAAGCCTATGTACCCTCCCCTTGACTAGGCAGAGCTGTGACTGCTTCAACCAATAGAATACACAAGTAAAAGTAACCCTTTTAGAGTCCTGATCACTGAGCTGATTAGAAAGATTATTGTTTTATGTCACTTAATCTAGAAGACGTATTATACTGCAAAGGTAGCTAGAAACGCACATATAATATTTACAATTAAAAAAGGAAATTCTTGTTCCTGTTAGCTCCTATTTTCATAGCACCCTACAAGCATATACTTTCAAAAAAAGGGAACAGATATGAAAATGTATATATACATATATATATATAAACATAGCAATTATTTTTTAAATGCTGGGGAAGCCAGGTGCAGTTGCTGTGATCCCAGCATCTCAAGCCTGAAGCAGAAGGATGACAAGTTCAAAGCCAACCTCAGAAACTTAATAAGACCCTGTATCAAAAATTAAAAATAAAAAAGGACTGGAGATGTAACTCAGTGGTAAGATGCTCCTATGTTCAATTCCCACTGCAAAAAAAAAAAAAAAAGTGCTGGGGATTAAATCCAGGAGTGCTTTTCCATTGTGCTACACCCCTATCCCTTTTTGGTTTTGAGACAGGATCTTGCTAAATTGCCAAGACTAGCCTTGAACTTGCAATCCTCCTGTCTCAGCCTCCAAGTAGTCAGGATTATAGGTGTGCCAACACCCTGCAGGAAAATTATTTTTTAATCACCTACAATTACAGCCTAATAGTCTGGTATGTTACTTGGTCTTCCCTTTGATAGGGTCCATCCTAAAGCTCATTTGGATTGCCTGAGTTGTCCTCACTAATAACATATGTGGCTGGTGAACAATTTAAAAGCTTGACATACTATTCTAATGGGCCTCGACATTTTACCTTTCAAGTCACAGAAAAATCTTAGCTCTGCCTATACATACTGGGTGATTTTAAGCAAAAGCAACAACTTCCCTGCACCTTATGTGTATTTATTTGATCAAGAGGATTTGAAAGAGTAAGTGAGAGAATTTATGAAAAATCCTTAGCACTAGGTTAGGCACAAAAGAGACACAGTAACTCTGAAACCTGATTTTAAGATTCAACACTACTGGGGGCTGGGGACGTGGCTCAAGCGGTAGCACGCTCGCCTGGCATGCGTGCGGCCCGGGTTCGATCCTCAGCACCACATACCAACAACAACAAMAAAAAAAAATGTTGTGTCCGCCGAGAACTAAAAAAATAAATGAATATTGAAAATTCTCTCTCATTCTCTCTCTCTCTCCTCTCACTCTCTCTTTAAAAAAAAAAAAAAAAAAAAGATTCAACACTACTACTTATAGCAGTAAAAGAGGACAATCACAATTACAATAACAATAATTCAGAATTTTGAAAGAAAACTATTAATGTTTAAAAATTAAACATTATGAAATGCAAGCATAAATTTATGCTAGATAGAGCATTATTTCAATAGTAAAAAAAGGAATTTACAGAGTTACCTTGATCAAGTATTTTTCCCATCTGTCTGCTGTAACAGATTTTCCAATCTTCCTCATCAACTTCAAATGGAGCTCCACCAATTCTTTTGGTACTTAAAAGGAAGAGAAAATAAACATTTAAGATTAACAAAAAAAGAACTCTCCCCAACCATGATAACTCTTTCAAAACAGGTGACACTGATTCTTTTTAGGTCGCTAAATCTGAAAAGGATAAACTAGATAGCAAAAACTGACTGAAAACCACTCTCTTGAAGATGAACAGAATGTTTATGTTTTGTTTCAAGCTACCATCAAGTAAGAATGAAACCTGTTTCTAACTACAAACTTTGGGTGCCAGTGAAAGTCACTGTAAATTCATCAACTATAAACTCTACCACTATAGCATGGAATGTAGAATAGGGGAGGTTGTGCCCATGAGGAGACAACAGGTTTATGTGAATACTGCGAACTTCCTGATTAATTTTTCTGTGAATGGGAAACTGCTCCAAAAAAATAAAGTCTACTGATGTAGTTCCACGGCAGAGCACTTGCCTAGCATACATGAGGCCCTGGGTTCAATTTCCCATGTTTATTTTTTTTTTAATTTTATTTATTTATTTTTAATATTTATTTTTTTTTAGTTCTCGGTGGACACAACATCTTTGATGGTATGTGGTGCTGAGGATCGCACCCGGGCCGCACGCATGCCAGGTGAGCGCACTACCGCTTGAGCCACATCCCCAGCCCCCCCATGTTTAAATGAATAAAATAAATCAATAAATAGCCATCAAGTAAAAACACTTAATTAAATAACTAAAATTTTGAATCTGTTTCATACACCACATACTTGGTTTCTTCACTGAGATTTTAGAGCAAGATATACATTTACAGATTTAGAAAGGAATCAAGGAATATAAATTCCAACTTGATAGCTATCTGGAAAATTGAGTTTAAAGGTTTTCAAACTGTCACAAAAAATAACTCCAATGTATCCTATATCTGATATGTTAAACTTCTCTTATAGCATCCCTACAGATATTTTCCTGAAAACATTTACGTACAAATATTTACTTACCTTCCAATTTTTGAAAATTTGTAAATAGAAAGATATACTTATTCTAAGTCAAAAACTGCCGCCCTAAAACTTTGTTCCCTGGTTCTGGCTATTAGTCTCTTGTTTAAAAGATAATACTTTTAATCCCTCTTCCATCAGAACCTTCAAATAGTTGAAAATTACTCTATTTTCCCTCAGGTTCTCTGTTGTGACTATAAATAGCCAGAATTCCTCTGAATATCCCTTGATACATCAACTAATTATGTGTTTAAATCATATTAATTAGACCCAAGGGAAATAAAGGACATAAGCCTGCCAAATTTAACATTTCTCAAATCTAAAATATTACTAGTAACCTAAAAGAAATTACAGGTACCCTATTTTAAAAGTTTCCATAATAAAATATATTAGGAAAATGCTAGATTGAAAACAAACAAAAAAGGTTTTGTACAGAGGAATTCTAGAAGTCTTTACTAATTGCAAATATCCAAGTCGATCCAAGGTAGAAATATAATCTGCATCATTCTCTARTATATTTAATCCAATATCTTATAGGATACACATGCTCTGAGAAATACTCTGAGATTGGGAAATGATGGCCTCATTTTTTTTCAATCATTCTTTCAGGCTCTTTAGTCTCCACTGAAGCTACTTCTGACTTTGAAACAACTTTAAAGTATAAAAACATCCACTCATTCAACCTCTTTTTATGGGTCCTCTATTAGCAAGTAAAAAATACTCCTTCACCTTATTGAGCTTTTCTGAGTGACTGCTAATGGGTTAAAGTAATGGGCTGGGGGTAAGAGGGAGGAGTGGTCACAGACAGTAAATAGACAATTATTCTAAGACCTAAAATATGGAGTTGAGGGGGGAGTAGAGAAAAAGGCAAAAAACATTATTTACAGAAACAACAAACAAATAGCTAAAAAATAATAATAAAATAAACCAAGTGATTATAGAACTGGAGGAATAGAAGAAACTTACAAGAACAGGCAGAAGAGTTTGAATTTTATTTAAAAGTTTAAGCCAAAGCCAGGAGTGGTGGCACATACCTGTAATCCTAGCAACTTGGGAGGCTGGGGCAAGAGGAAAGAACATTCAAAGACAGCCTAGGCAACTCAGTAAGACCCTGTCTCAAAATAAAATTTAAAAAGAGACTGGGGATGGGAGGATTCCGCCTTTTGGGTCCAATTCTTCTTCCTCCAGGAAGAAGTCTTTTCTGCTATCCTTCAGTAAAGCCTTCTACTTTCCACTCTACACTTGCCTTGGAGTGCTTCTTTGGTGTTATACTTCAACATTTGGGGAAGCAAGAACTTGTCACCAATAAACAGCAGTGACAGATTGGAGGTTCCACCTAGATCTACATGGAGACTACCACCCATCACTCAAATGGCCCTMCAGCTTGTTACTTCTCAATTGGACTTCTATCACAGACCACTTTATAGACCCAATTTTTTAAAAAGGAACTCCAAACTGCTTGCTCCACACCAACCCCCTTCCAGTTCGAAGAAGCCAGAGCAGTCATAGTCCCCTTTCATTACAGCAGTAATGAGTTCCTAAAATTAGAAGGGGGAATGAAGCCAGATTTAAAGATAGGTAGTTAGTGTAGTTAGGTAAATCAGGTTTAATATTGAGTACGATAAAGAAAATGGAGACCATATGGAGAATGGAGTCCATAAAGAAGATGGAGTCCAATCTGAGCCCAGGAAACCAGAACACCACCTGAGGAAATTGAAATATTAACGTTCCCAAGGCCTCTGACCCATCCTTAAAAATTGTTAATGAAGTAGCTCCCGAAAACAGGGAGATGCTTATCAAACTACCCCAGGCCCTTCTTGCCCAGTTTACTCCTCCCCATCTCATGCCCTAACGGGTCCACCTGTCTCCCATCTTTTGGTATTCCTATCTGCATTTTATCACTGCAGGATAGAGTGACACAAAGGACAGGAATACGGGCAGACAAAAGAAGACCTTAGATATAAAAAAGGGAAGATACCTCCCCTTTCTACAGATTCCACGGGTCCCCTACTTCCTCAGGGAAGAAGTCCTTTGGGCTATCCTTTAATAAAGCCTTCCACTTTCCCACTCTTTAAGAGAGAGAGAGAGAGAGACAGACAGACAGACAGACAGACAGACACTAGAGGACTAGGGATATAGCTTAGTTGGTAGAGTGACTGGCTCATATGTACAAGGCCCTGGGTTAAATCCCCAGTACCATCAAAAAAAATAGAGAGAGATGGGCAAGTGGCTCATGCCTATAATCCCAGTGGCTAGGGAGGCTGAGGCAGGAGGATAAGAGTGCCTCAGCAATGGCGAGGCACTAAGCAACTCAGTGAGACCCTATCTCTAAATAAAATGCAAAACAGGGCTGGGGATGTGGTTCAGTAGTAGAATGCCCCTGAGTTTAATCTCCAGTACCCCCCCGAGAGAGAGAGAGAGAGAGAGAGAGAGAGAGAGAGAGAGAGAGAGAGAGAGAGGATGTAGCTCAATGGTAGAGCACCCCCGGGTTCAATCCCCGGTACTAGCAAAAGGGAAAAAAAAAAGTTTATGCAGCAGAAGGCAATATTAGGACAAACTCAATGAATGAATTAGAGGAAGACTTTAAAAGAAACTTTAATTTGCTTATTTTAGGAAACGGGGTACAGGGAATGAATGTAAATCAAGGAAAACATCAATCCACAAAGATGGGAGCTTGAAAAAAGGTACAAGTGGTAGGTATATAGAGCAGTGGGAAAATCTAAGAAATGTTTAGGAAACAAAATTAAAACAATGATTGACTTGGGCTGGGGATGTGGCTCAAGCGGTAGCGCACTCGCCTGGCATGCGTGCGGCCCGGGTTCGATCCTCAGCACCACATACCAACAAAGATGTTGTGTCGGCCGAGAACTAAAAAATAAATATTAAAAATTCTCTCTCTCTCTCCCTCTCTCTCTCTCACTCTCTCTTAAAAAAAAAAAAAAAAAAAAACAATGATTGACTTGTGCAGTAAAAGAGAAAAAAAATCAAGAAAACCTGAGGCACTGGCTTAGGTAAGTGAAAAGGTATCAATGACAATAAAGGAGTAAGAATTTAAAATACTCAATTCTCAGTTCTACCACTTACACAAGCGGTCAGGTCTGTTAAGCACTGAACCTAAACTTCCCCATCTGTACTAAAAGGCTGTGTTGACAATCTCACCAAGTTTTGAAACAGTGAGACACTATATAAAGCTAAGATACTTTTATTTTTATTTCTATTGTGATTTTTTGAAAACTAAGGTTACTTTCAATCTCTTTTACCCCAAACCCAGTGGTCTTGATTACTCTTCCTACATTTCAATCCTGCTCAATATTTTCCCCTAGTTTTCTAGGATACCATATGACTTTTCACTTTAGAAAATATGTATGGATAGATTATAACTAACGAACCTTCCAAAAATACTGCCACTTCCCAGTTGGTTTGGGGAAGGGGTTTTGTTTTTTGGGTTTTTCTGACAGGGGGCAGGATGCAGTGCTGGGGGTTGAACCCAGGGCCCTGTGCACGCTGGCAAGCACTCCCCTAATAAGTATTTTAATAGCTCATAAACATGCATATAAACCCATCCTGATTTCTTACAGTAGCTTCAGAATTCCAAAATTCAGGGCTGGGGATATAGTTCAGTTGATAGAGTGCTTGCCTGGAATGCACAAGGCCCTGGGTTCAATCCCTAGCACCATATTTAAAAAAAAAAAAAAAGAATTCCAATATTCATTCTCAACCTAACTCTTCAATTCTTTCTCTCACTTTTACACTGAAATCTTTAATAGAAAATCGTTTGGACCTGTTCATTAAACCAATTAGGCCTGTTACCTATGTGGGCTTTATTAAGACTTCCTGCTTACTGTCTTCTCCTTATATAAAATACCCATCATTCAATCTGTGAAGAAAAATTCTCGGTGATGGTCTTACAACTATAACTGCACATCTTGTTCTTGCAATGCCCCTTGAATTAATGCTGTCTGTATCACTCAATTAGTAATGATGGAAACACCAGTTGTTTTATGTATGCTCCCCACATCCTGTAGAAATCATGAAAGATTT